TTTAACACGAGTGGGAGGATCCAGCAGCCCTTCCTGTGCTTTTTTGAAAATAGTAGATCCACCCCCCTCTGGGGTGTTCCTGTAGGGCTGCGAGTCCCAGGGCCCTGTCCCAACCACCACAAGGGACACCCAGGCCTAGCCAGTCATAGTACCCAGGCCCTCAGACCTGAGCACTGGCCCGGGTTTGGCCATGTGACTGAGGCAAGACCAATAAGAGTCCTTTCCCTGGAATTTGGGAAGTTGGGAGGGGGGGGAATAACCCTTTCCTCTGGGATCCTCAAGATAGAGTGATAAATGCCAGAGGCCATCTGCACACCTGCTTTTCTCCTACTCTTCGTGGAAGGAGCCTGCGGATGTAGAAGAGCCAAGAGATAGGCCGACCGTCCAGGAGCAGTGGGCTGTGGGGAGAGAACAAGAGAGAGGGGTTTCCTGTCATAGGAGCAAATACATTCCCTTTGCTTGAGCTGCTGTGAGTTGGGCTTCTGTCACTCACACCCAGAAGAGCCCTAGATAATCATTGCCTCAGCCATGGGTGCCCAGGAACGCCCTCGCCTGGCACTGAACACTCCTCGAAGTCTCTCCCTGGCTCCCTCAGATTCCACACACAGGCCGCGGCCACCCTTTCCTACTCTTGTCAAACTCATAAACCCACCTATGCTTCCTCAACTGCCACCTGCTTGGCTGGGTAAAGTGAATCCGTCAGCTGTCACCCGCTCTGCCCTGACTTTCCTCCAGAGCTGCCTCCCCATCCTGTCTTCCTTCCGTGTCCCTCCTCTGCCCCCTTGCCCACAGCTGACCCAGATCGCTGGAACTGGAGAGCTTGGCGCCAGTGGACCCCAAACCTGCCCGTACCTCAGAATCGTCTGGGAAACTGGAAATAGAAAATTTCCCAGGTTCCATCAGATCCTCTACGGGCAGGCCCTAAAATCATCATTTTAACACACCTTCCCTGGTTTTGGCAACATTGCCCTCTCAGTTGTTGGGACAGTCTTGGCTTAGTCAGCATTTGGCCCCAGAAGGACATCTCGGGGTTCCCCTCAACAGGATGTTTGTTGTGTTGCTTATATGGGGACCTTGCAAGGTCTTCTCTGAAGACCTACCTCCATCTTCATCTGAACCCCCTAGTGATCTGAGCTCCTCTTTGGCCCAACCTTCCCTTGGGTGAGGGGACCTCCAGACTCCAGACTGGACCAGTCATGCTTTGCAAACCTTGCCCTCCCTACCCCGCTGAACTCCTCCTCCCTTCCTGCAGCCCCGCACCTCTCTGCTAGCTTCTTGGTCTCTTTCCTTCTTTCTTTGCACCATGTCCTCCTGACCGGGCAGTTCTTCCCAGGGTGCCCTGCAGGGCGGGTCATTCACTGCGGTGGATGTGGGTGGCCGCCGAGGACCAGAGGTAGGTGAAGACGGCAGGCCTCACCCCACACCTCCCCCCCAGGTGGTACGTTACAGTGCAATCAGTGCTGCCCCACTTAAAGCAACTACTTCCAAGAGGCACAAAACAGATCTCCCACCACTGCCCAAGAGCCTGGGGGAGCCCCACTCTCCATCCTGTGCAGGAAGGCTTCTCTCTGGGTGGATTCAAGGATGGGGTGGCCAAAGACCGGCTAACCCTCCAGTCTGATCATTGTGTAGGGCATCCAGGACCAATTAGAGAAAGTTCTAGATACAGGGTACTGCTCTGTTGGGTTGCTGGACTTTCCAGACGCGGGGAGAGGGGACTGTGCAGCATCTCTTGCCAGGCACACACCTATCTGCAGGGATGCTCTTTTCACTAAAGAGGGACTTCTGACACCCCATGGCCAATTAACAAGTCCTCTGCAGGTGTAGACGGCCACACCAGGAGCACTGGCCACAGCTGCCAGAGTTGTGTAGCGGCCCCGGGGTGTAGGCTTCTCCTCAGGGTCTTTAACATGAATTCCATCCCACGCTCTCAAACACTGCGCTGCTGCACTGAGGTCGTTACAGCCAGGGCGACTCTCCACCCGGTGGCGGTGGCCCCGCTCCCAGCACCAGGGGCTCCTCACACCCGCCTTCAGGTGCGCTGGGGCCCAGGTGGGAGGCTGGCCCAGGGCAAGGCCACACCGCGCTTGCAGCAACCCAGCAGCCTCTGGATTCCAACCAGTTCTAGAGGGTTGGTGGGGCAGATAGGAAAGAAAGTGGGAACAGGGATGGAGAGAGGGAAAGGGGAGACGAACGAGGGAGCAGGGATGGGAAGGAGGAGGAAAGGTGCCAAGGAGGTGTGGAGAAGGCACACCTGAGCCCACACCTGGGCTCCCTCATCCAGGGCAGCACATCCGCCTCAGGGGAAGAGGGGCTACCTGGTGACAGGGACTGCTAAACCACCACTGCTTGGGACACCCGTGACCTACCCAACTGCGCTTCCCAATCTTCCGCCCTCCCTCCAGGCTAGGAGACAGACCGCCCCCACCCACACCCCCACCCTGCCCCCACCCCCACCCCCGGGGATCTGAGGTCCTGTAGCTCCGGGGTGCCTCCGTGGAGGGCAGATTCCATCTGCAGGCTAACCTCCCCCTCCTCGGGGCCTTGCTCAACCACCCTGGCTGTGGTTGAGATAAGGAGCAGGAATCGGGCCTCAGGCGCTGGGACAAGTGGAAGGGGCCAGACTCCAGGAGCCTCAGAGTGCTTCCTGATAGGGCCTGGCCCAAGCCACCTGCAGGGGAGCCTGTCCAAGTGACCGGAGTGACCGGAGTGACCGTGAGAACTGAGCAGGGGCTGCCCTAGCTCCCACATCCCCCACCTCCACCCCCCAGCCAGGGACCGAGTATTTAATTTTCATCCATTTCCTCTGTCCCCTGTCCACCGAGGCACAGATCAAATGAATCCATGATGACAAACTGTTCCTCTTGATCGACCAGATTCCACTGGCAAACACTCAGTTGGCGCTTTAGCAGCTTCCCCCATTGCCACCTCCCCCAGCCCCGGTAGGTTCTGGGGCCTTTGGGTTAGGTCAAATAACAATAATAATATCCACAGTAGCCAACGTGTCATAATGCCACCGTGTGGGACACACTAGTCTACGCACTTTGCATGCGTCATCCCACGTAACCCTGCACTGGCAGGAAATTGAGGTCTCAAGGGGATAAGCCACCTGCCCCTACTGACAGCCCGGAAGGGCAGAGGCCTGAGCTAGCCCCCATCCCTCTATAGTCTCCAACCTGGGCTCCTTCCCCCCTTCCCAGGCGCCCCTCCCAGGCACCTGAGGAAACCCCACAGCTTCCTGGAGAGGGGTCAGAGCTGAGGCCTGGTGGGATGTCCTCAGCCAGACAGCCCAGCCCTCTTTCCAGGCCAGACTTTTAGGGGGAAGTAGGAGAACCTAGCAGCCTGGGCAGTGGAGTGAAGTGCCGGGTCCCTTGCGGGACAGGTGGCCAGTGGGGCTGCAGGGGGCCCTTGGGGGCAGGCAGCCAAGCCGAGGGGGGACTTTGAGCTGCCAGTCAGACCCTCCTCCTGCTCTGGTGCTTGGGAAGGACCATTAGAAAGAGCCTGACTCGAGGCTTCTTCTCTGGAATTCTGCTTGGGAGAATTTTGACTTTCCCTGATTAGAGCTTATAGTATCCTAGCAAATTCTATTTATTATACCTTGGGTTCTTCCTCCTTCCCAAGGGGCCCCTGAGCCTTAGAGAAAGAGTTGAAAGAAGCTCCTCACCTCAGGTTCAGTGTTCTGGGGTCCAGCTCAGCAGGAGCAGCCTCATTAGACTTCCTACCACCAGCCTCTGCCCTCAGGGACCTCTTGGCCTCCCCAGGGACCACTTGGCAGGAAAATAACTCGGGTCACTGCCGTCCTCCAAGGGCTCAGGGCCTGCCTTCTGGAGCCAGGCAGGCCTTCTGGCTTTGTTTACCAACTATGAGTCCTCACCCACTGGGCCTTCCCCCTCTGTTTCCTCCTTTGTAAGGTGGGAATAATAATGGCACATGCCTCCAAGATTAAGTGATTCAAGTGTGAGCCTGGAATCTTGCTTGGCATATTGTAGCCTCTTGGTGAATGTTAGCTGGGATTTATTGGACCGTGAAATGCTTCCATTTCAATTCTCTGGGCATTTTGGGGTCCTACTGTCAGTTCGGCCATGGGACCTCAACATGGAACCAGACTGGAACAGACACGTGGACAACAGCCAGACGGGCAGAGATTTTTTTTTTTTTTTTACCAGGTAGAGGGTTCTGGAAGTCATCTACCACCCCAGCCCCCCGCTGGGCCAGGAATGTCCTCCGTCTGCTCAAGCCCACTCCCCAGGAACCGCTGGGTCTGGCGCACACACACAGATTAATAAAGATTGAGGACAAAAAGGGTCTGGAGTGAAATAGTTGTCGATGTCTGAAAAGGAGGAGGTGGGCGGCCCTGCAAATAGGCCTTCCCTCAGTAGTGAGGGCCTCACTCTGGGGCACAGAGGCTTCCAGAGCTGTGACCCCGGACACAGGCAGCCCAGCCTCCTGGGGCGGGGGGGGGGGGGGGAGGGGGGGCGCTTATCCCAGGGCCCTTGCTCCCCCAGAGGCTCCCTCCTCTCTGCAGACCGGCCCTAGGTAGCTGGCCCAGAGGGGAGGAGCAGGGAGGCCTGCCCGGGAGGTGGGAAAGGGGGCAAGCGAAGCCCTGTGCTCATCTGCCGCCTCCACCCTCGAAAAGTCGCGAATGGGGCCAGCGGGAGACGGTGGGGACCCGGGGGCGCCCCGGTGGGTGGCGGGTGGCGGCCCGGGGCGCGCGCAGAGGGGCCACGGCCCCAGGGAAGCCCCGCGGGGGAAGCCGAGTCCGCGGGCACCGGGAGCGACCCTCGCGGGCTGCGGCGGCCGGGCCAGGGCGCGTCCTCGGCCTCGGGGTCCGCCTCCGCGAAATGGGCGGGCGGCGCGGGCGGCGGGCGGCGGGCGGGCCCGAAGGGGTTAACGCACCTGGGCCGCCGCCGCCCCTCCCGGCCCCTCCTCCGGCGGCGGGGAAGAGGAAAGTCGCGGCGGGGGCGCGGCCCGGCCTCCGCTCCCGCCCGCCCCGTCCGCGTCCCCGCCCGCCGTCCCCAGCCGCGGCGCCCAGAGCTGCGACCCGCGCGCCCCGCTCCGCCGCCGCCCGGCCCGGGCCGCCATGTCTCTGTGGTGAGTGGGGTCCGGCCGGGCCGGGGGGCGGGCGCGCGGGGACCCGGCCGGTGCCCCGAGGTCGCGGGGCGCGCGGGGGCGGGCGGCTCCCGGGATGCGAGCAGGATGCCGCGCTGGGCGCCCGGGCTGGGTGCCGGGGCTGGGTGCCGGGGGGTTGGGGTGTAGGGGCTGGGGTGCCGGGGGCTGGGGTGCCGGGGGCTGGGGCGCCCGGGGCTGGGGTGCAGGGGCTGGGGTGCCGGGGGCTGGGGTGCCGGGGGCTGGGGCGCCCGGGGCTGGAGTGCCGGGGGCTGGGTGCCGGGGGCTGGGGCGCCCGGGCTGGGGTGCCGGGAGCTGGGGTGCCCGGGGCTGGAGTGCCGGGGGCTGGGGTGCCAGGGGCTGGGGTGCCCGGGGCTGGAGTGCCGGGGGCTGGGGTGCCGGGGGCTGGGGCGCCCGGGGGCTGGCCTCAGTTTCCCGGGACGGACGGGCTCGGCGGCGGCATGCCCGGCGGGTGCAGCGCCCCGAGCCCGGTCGGGGCAGGACCGCAGGGGGCCCTGGGCCCCGGCTGCCAGGCACCCTGACCCCACCCCGGGACCCCTGGCTCTGGGGACTCCAGGGCTCTCCGGGCAGCTGGGTCCCATCGCCCATTCCGAGGGCCTCTTGCGTCCAGGGCAACCCCCATCCTCCACCCCCGCCCCCGAGGGGCTCTCCTCCCTCCAGGGGAGCTCGAGCCCCCCACCTCTCCCTCTCACCCCTCTCCTTCCTCCCCTGTGGGACTTTTGGCCTACAAGTGGAGTGGGTCGGTGCAAGTGGACCCGCCTGGGGCCCCCACCCCACCCCAACGCATCCCCCTCCCCTGGGGTGACCCCCGCAGAACTTCCTCTAGGACCCACCTGCCGAGCTGGGAGGGGAAGGGGTGCTTCGTTGAATCCCCTAGGGCAGGAGACCCTGATCTGGAACATTCTGCTGTTCCCTCGGGAGGGTCAACTCTGGAGTCACCCCCCACACACATACACTCCAGCACCTGGGCTGACCCAGTCTTCCTCCGACCCTAAACACAGGAAACCCTGGGACCCCCATGGGAAAAATGTGCTTCGGGGGGCTCAACATCCACTTGCCCTGGGTGCCTGAACCTTCAACCAGCCAGTCTTGAGGGCCACCCCGGGGCTTCTCCAGGGTCCCCAGGGTCCCAGTGGGGTACACTTTAGTCTGTTTCTTCCATTCCTCCTGACCCTGCAGCTTGCTCCTGAGGTCCGGGCTGGCTCCCTCTTGGCCCGGCCCTATGAGGCCACACTTCTAGCTGCGTGTTCCCCCAAGAGCCCTCGGCCCCTGTGTCTCCTCAAGAGAGACCAGGGCAGGAGGCCTGGCCACCTCCAGAGGGGGAGCTAAGGAGAGAGGGTCCTGGGACAGACACACGTACACACCCAGCCCCAGGCCTGCGAGCACCTCCTGCAAAAGGCTTTAATTTCTGCTTCATAAATGGGTGTGTTAGAGACTCTCTGGCAAGGAGGGTCCCTGGGAATGGCTGGAGGGCAGCGGTCATGCTAGGAGATCCCTGCCCCATTCTCGGGCCTCCACCAGCCATGTGGGCAGTTTTGCATTGGGTCAGATGGATGAGGTAGGAGGGGAAGGGACAGACTTCTTCAGGTCCCACGTTAGAGCCTCTCCCCAATATCCCCCACAGGCGATTGAGCCCCCAGGCTGTAGAGCAAGTGCTATCTCTGCCCCCCACAACAGTTCACCCCAGTGGTTCCCCAGGTTTGCACAGGGAAATGAAAGCAAATGGGGTGGCTTGCTGGGGGGTTGGGAAACCAGCAGAAATCTCCACCAGAGGTCGTCCTTATAGACTCTTGGCATTCCCCCTGACTGCATAGTGGGCGCTCCGATACCTCGTTATCCTCATTGAGGGGGAAAAAGAAGTCACAGTTTGGAGACGTTAAGGGGGACCCACTTAGAGAGTCATTGCACTTGTAAGTGGCAGAGTCCAGATTTAAACCCCCGGCAGCCTGACTCTGCAGTGCTTGTCCTTGAACTTTGTGCCGTGTGGGTCCCCTGGTCCTGGAAGAGAGAGGTCAGGGTCGGAGAGGAAGCAGGACCCAGCTCTAACCACTCGGGGTGGGGGGACCCCGGGACTTGCGTCCGTGCCCAGGCCCCACTCGCCCATCTGGGGCCGCGGCTCGGAATAAGGCGACTTCGAGAATCACGGACGACTCATCCTTTCCTCCCCGCTCTCTACCACCCTCCATCCCCTCACCCCCAGGAAGAAAACCGTCTACAAGAGCGTGTGCCTGTCTCTGGCCCTGCTTGTGGCCGTAACAGTATTCCAGCGTAGCCTGACCCCCAACCAGTTCCTGCAAGAGCCCCCGCCACCCACTCCAGAGCCGCAAAAGGCCCAGAAATCAAGTGGACACCTGGTGAACCCCAACAGCTTCTGGAAGAACCCGAAGGATGTGGTTGCCCCCACGCCCGCGGCCCCGCAAGGGCCCCAGACTTGGGACGTCAGCACCACTAACTGCTCGGCCAACGTCAACCTGACCCACCAGCCCTGGTTCCAGGGCCTGGAGCCCCACTTCCGGCAGTTCCTGACCTACCGTCACTGCCGGTACTTCCCCATGCTGCTGAACCACCCCGAGAAGTGCGGCGGCCACGTCTACCTGCTGGTGGTGGTCAAGTCGATCATCACGCAGCACGACCGCCGCGAGGCCATCCGCCAGACCTGGGGCCGCGAGCAGGAGTCGGTGAGCGGCGGCCGCGGCGCCATCCGCACCCTCTTCCTGCTGGGCACGGCCTCCAAGCAGGAGGAGCGGACCCACTACCAGCAGCTGCTGGCCTACGAGGACCGTCTCTACGGCGACATCCTGCAGTGGGACTTTCTCGACAGCTTCTTCAACCTGACCCTCAAGGAGATCCACTTCCTCAAGTGGTTTGACATCTACTGCCCCCACGTGCAGTTCATCTTCAAGGGCGACGACGACGTCTTTGTCAACCCCACCAACCTGCTCGAGTTTCTGGCTGACTGGCAGCCGCGGGAAGACCTGTTCGTGGGCGACGTCCTGCAGCACGCCCGGCCCATCCGCAAGAAGGACAACAAGTACTACATCCCGGGGGTCCTGTACAGCAAGGCCAGCTACCCCCCGTACGCGGGCGGCGGCGGCTTCCTCATGGCCGGCGGCCTGGCCCGGCGCCTGCACCACGCCTGCGACACCCTGGAGCTGTACCCCATCGACGACGTCTTCCTGGGCATGTGCCTGGAGGTGCTGGGCGTGCAGCCCACGGCCCACGAGGGCTTCAAGACTTTCGGCATCTCCCGCAACCGCAACAGCCGCATGAACAAGGAGCCGTGCTTCTTCCGCTCCATGCTCGTCGTGCACAAGCTGCTGCCCGCCGAGCTGCTGGCCATGTGGGGGCTGGTGCACGGCAACCTCACCTGCTCCCGCAAGCTGCAGCTGCTCTGACCCCGGCCAGGCCGCCCGAGAGGCTAGGGCACGTGTCCTTGAGCCCCGGGAGTCAGGGGGCTGGAGCGGCAATGCCAGGACATGGACCGTGGTCCCCCCGCGCAGGGAGGTGGAGGGGGTTTGGGCTTTCCGTGCCCTGGGCTGTGATGGGGCGCAGTTAGCCGGAAGGGGGCCTCCCGGTGTACACATCCCCCAGGAAGTGGAGCTGAGGCCCAGGAACGTTTGCAACTGCCCTGACTGCTGAAGGTCGTCTTGGGAGCGGGGCCGTTGGCCACTGGTAGCCCTCCTAACCTGGGTTCCCTGCTTGACTCCCGGTGACCTGGGGGGAGGCCCTGGTGATCTCTGAAGGAACTCTGTACTCAGGTACCCGGCTTAGGCCTGGCCCTGGATGGGTCCGTGGCGGCCCTCTTGTCTTCACAGACAAGATTCTCCTTCCCCCATGAAATGCCTCAGTCTCCCCCCACGGGCCCAGGCAGCCCTTTCAGGAGAAGCTCAACCCTGTGCGGGCTCACAGGCCCCACCCCCTGCAGCCCTTGCCCCTGGGTCTCCAGGAGATGGAACCTCAGAGGGCCCTCAGCACCATCCTCACCCCCATACCTGCCTAGAGTTGCTGCTCAGTCTCTGCAACCAGGTGGCTTCCCTCCTGGCTGTGTCCCTACGATGCTCCATCCACCCCTGTCTGGAAGCGCGGCTGGCCGCCCTGACTACCTCAGCAATCCTCAGAACCTCTGGATGGGCTGCGCCCCCTCCCCACCCCACTCCCCCGACACAGGGCCAGAGAGCAGTGCTCAGCCCCACGCAGTCATGGTGCTGCCCGACCCGCCGAGGGCCCTCACGCAGCCCCACCGAGGCCTGGCTCCCCGGCCGGAAACCAGCCGGTTTGGCCCTGGAGATGGACATTCCTCTATTACTGTGAAGTTTTTATTTATGGAGGGAGGGAGTGCCAGGCCTCGGGAGATTGGTGGTGTTCTCCTTTCCCTACCCTCATTCCAGCAAGAGACCACCTCCCTCAGCCACTCACCCCCCTCCCGGGGCACCCCCATGCCTGTCATGGCCCCCTCTGGAACCCTGCCCTACCTGCCTGCCCGCTTCTCCAGGGCCTGAGCAGACCAGCATTTGCCCCGGTGAAGCGATGAAGTGAACCTTGTGTGCCACCTCACCCGGGCTCAGGCGTCCTTGGGGATGGGTGCAGAAGGATGCCACCTCGTATCCAGGTGGAGTCACCCGGGAAAAGATGGAGGGACCAACTCTGTTTTCTCAATAAAAGGGGGCTGTTTTTTTCTGGTGTGGAACTTCCTGTCACCATGTCCATCAGAGAGAGTCTGGGGCCAGGGTTGCCAGATTTCTGAAGACACTGCTTGTTCCTTGCTCTTGGCTGGTGGGTGCACAACTTCAAGGGGATGCGGGTGCCAGGATCAAAGCAGAGGCCACAAGGGCCAGAGTCCAGACAGCTGCCCCCCAGAAGAGGCGGTACGGGGGAGAAATGTGCCCACTAATGGTGTGTTCCCGTGGGGACCGCCTGACATTACAGTGGGTAGGGTCGGGCGGTGTGAAGGGTTTTGGGGGATGTTCCCTGACGTCCCTCCAGTCATCTGTGAAGCACTGATAGGGTTGACAAGAAGCCCTGAAACAGTGGCTTGGGGGGGCAGCCTTGGGGGCCCGGGGGATGTAGTGCACGGGGAACCTCGGCCTAAGTGGCTGACCTCAGGGTGGGGAGAACTGAGCTGTCGAGCCCCAGAAGGGTCACGGGGGCCATATAGTGAGCAAGCCAGCGGCTCCCCCTGCGCCCAGCTCGAGGCATCACGGAGTAGGTCAGAGGCCCCCACATGTCCACCCTGGGCCTCTCCTCCAGGGAAGTGAAAGGAATGGCTGGGTCCTCCTATAATGCAACATCTGAGAGGGCACAAGGGGGCACGAGACTGCATGGGTGTCCCTCGTGGCCCCGGCTGCCCGGGTCCAAGCCCTCAGAAGAAAAAGGCACCTTGCTGCTCTTCCCCCTCAGCACGGATTGCCCCGTGTCTCCCTCTCTGTGCACCAGCTGCGGGCTTTGAAGGGCCCAGTGCAAAATGAAAACGCAGGGCCCCTGGGTTTAGAAAGTTAAGAATTTCAGGACTGTCCCCACAGAGAATTCAGCCAAGCACACGGTCCTCTGAGCACAGGTCCCAGACCCAAGCTGTCAGCCCTGTTTGTTCCTCTCACGCTGGGAAGCCAGGGACTCCAGAAAGCAGAGTAGGGCAGTGGGGCCTCCCGTCTAACCAGAAGCAGAAAAGAGGGCCTCCCTGGCGGGGGGCGGGAGACAGGGTGCGAGGGCCGGGTGAGAGAAGGGACTGCCTCCCCGTGAGGGAGGCAGGCAAGGCCTGTTCAGCCTTCTGGGTTTCAGGAATGTGTTCAGGCTTGATCCTGAGAGAGCCAAGAGGCAAGGAGCAGGGGACCTGGGTGTGCAGCCCTTCCTCTGGGTTCACTGGTGTCTCCAGCTGGGCCCCGCGCACTGGGAGCTCTCAGTGGAGACTGCACATTCCTGGCATGGGAACTTCCTCCTCCGTGGGCCCCACGGACGGCCCGATCCCATTTCAGAGCTCAGGGGCCCCGGCCTGGGCTGCCAGAGCCGGCATTCACACCGCAGCGGGAAAGGAGGAAGGTCGGCGAGCCCGCTGAAGGGGAACAGTGTAATAGACCCCCCCCCAAAGGGTGGGGAGCAGGCTCCAGCCCTGGGCCTGACGCTCCACTTGTGTCTTAAAGGAGGAGTGGCATTCCTGTGGTAGAAGGGGAAGGAAGGTCAGCCCCGGGTGGGAGCATGTGCAACTGCCCAGAAGCGCCAAACAGCGGGGCATGGGGGAGCGGCCAGGTCCCTGGTGCGGACAGGGCTGGAGCTGGGAGGGACCGGGGGTGTCCTGGTAAAGAGACTTGCCTGGCTAAGGGTGAGGACGCTTTCTGCCGGCACTGAGGACTGCGCACGGCTTCCAGAGCCAGGAACAAGCAACATCAGATGGGAACCCTAGCAACATGTCCTTGACCCAGTCCCCCTTGTGGGGCACATGGGGAGGCAGCCAGTCCCAGACTCCAAGAATATCAGGCTGGAAACATGAAACATGGCCCCAAGGCCTGTCCCTGGCTCCCCTGTCCCCTCAGCAGGAACAGGACTTCACCAAAGAAGGGGCTGGTGACTGGGAAAATTGCTGAGACCCTGCCCGCCCTCAGCCAGCTTCGAGAAGAACGGCCCAGCTGACCTGCCCTCCACCAGCTCCTGGCCTGGCTCTGGCCCTTCTGCTCAGCCGGCCCTGGTTTCCTCCATCCGCCTGGGAGTGTGACCTGGCTGCCTCCAAGGAGTGTTGACCTTGGCCCTTCCAAGGTCTGTTACTGACCATTTTGGGAAACAGACACAAAGGCCTTTAAGTCTGACGATCTTGCTTCCCGCTAACAGTGACGGCAATGACCACTTTATGGAGCCTATTCAGTCTGCCTGACGTTTCACATGTATGTCACTCACGGCACAAGCACAGATATTTTTTCATGTTTCTCATTGGGTGATGGAGTCTGAGTCCCTCCTGTACCCCTTACTGGCAGAAGACTGAAGTGGAATATGACATTCCAAAATATGCCTCTTTCGCATAAGAATTATCTTGAGCTGATTATTTTTAAGGAACAGCAGACACAGGAGAAGCTCTGAAACCTGAGTTAGAGGTTACCCTTTTGTAAGGGACATTCAAAGCTGTAAAAGAAATCTCCATTTGGGGTCTCCCTCTACCAAGAAGAGGAAGATAGCTCTAAGTCACAAGGAGCATCAGTGCAGAAGGCAGGGCCTTACACTTGTTTGCTGTGCTTTTCCTGGTGACCTCCCATAAGTCACTACCACCCCCCCATCACACCCACACCCACACACACACACACACACACACACACACAGGCAACTCGCTCCAACATCCTCCTTTAATCTTTCTTTCTTTTTTTTAGATTTTATTTATTCATGAGACACACAGAGAGAGGCAGGGACACAGGCAGAGGGAGAAGCAGGCTCCCTGCGGGGAGCCCAATGCGGGACTCGATCCCGGGGCCCTGAGCCAAAGGCAGGCGCTCAACCACTGAGCCACCCAGGTGCCCTCTTTCTTTAAACTTCCGCTGAAGATGGTATTTAGGGCCATGGCTCTGGTCATTTCGTAGAGTGTGACTCCGTGGTCCTGGGGATCTCCCATGCACACAGGAGGTACACATGCCACTAAACTTCTGTTTGTTTTCTGTCTTTTATCCCAGGGGCATCTCAGAAAAATTATTTTTTCTCCCTCTTTTGGAGCCCACTCACTCCCAGGTTGTCCAGAACTTCAAGGACCTCCTGAGTCCAAAGTCCAAATGTCCAGCGAGTCTGGAAAGTTGGAGCCGGCCTCTGCCACTGGTGCCTGTCCCTCAACGCGGCGGCGCTGTGGAACGGGAGCCTGCAGGGTCAGGCCCCCGCGTAGACGCTGCCTTCCCCGCGCGAGCTGTGGGGGGACCCCGGGCTGCACACCCTTACCCCCCGTCACCAGCGCAGCCATCCTTCCCCAAAGAGTGGTAGCAAGTTGGGTGCTGAGTCCTGTGGCTCCCAGTCACGTACCCAGTCTGCTCTCAGGCTCTGTCCCGGGCAGGCAAACTTCCAGGCCTCTCCTGACAGAAGTGTTTGTCCTCCCCTGATCCTGGGGAGCAGGCTGCAGAGAAGGGTCTCAAAGCCTTTCCTCCTACAAAGGCTCTGAGCTTCCAGTACAACACGCTTCCCCTCATCCCTGGCCGCCAGCTCTGCCTTCCCCGGAGGCTTGAGAAGGGGGAGCCATGGGCACCCACTGGGCCTCGTTTCCATAACTATGAGACCACTCAAAGAACCCTAGCCTGAACAAAGAAAGCCTGTTCCCCAGTGACTTGCTCTGTCCACTTAGGCTGAGAAGGAGTGGGCAGGGAAGCTTCTGGAACCCCATTATACCAGCGTCATGTGAAGAAACAGGTTCCCAGGGAAAGGTTCTCACAGCTACTGTGTGACAGGGTGCGACTGGAACTTTTTTGGTCTGTGCTCCTTAACTCCTCAACCTACTGTCTCCCAAGACCTTCAATCCCTCCTTTTTCCCTTAGTAGTCACCTCCGGGTATATTTGTGGATTTTTTTTTCCCCAAAGCCCAAAGAGTAGAAAAATGTCACATCCAAGGAGTGATTTGAAATCGGATATTTTTGGTGTCGGGGGGTAGGGGGGGAGCACAGCAGTATTAGCACTGTGAGGGGAAAAAAAATTTTTTTTTTCAGATAGTTAACTTCAAATATTGTGAAGAAAAACGTGTTTCAAAACTACACTAAGCTTTAAAGCACAACCCCCAAGCTGTGCGCTCCTAGCCCAGGTCATGGTCCTTGAGCTATTTTGTACCTTTTTTTTTTTAATTGCAGGTACTGATGGCTCCTGGAAGCAGGCGTCCCCCGGAGCTTCCATTGACTCCTCTCTCTCCCCCCGTGTGGAAAAACCAGTTTGGCCTCCGTTTGCAATTCAATTCCTTCACTCCAGATAATTTTGTGCTTTTTAACGTCTCCTGGGAACCGGCTGTAGCATCTGCTTGCCCTCAGGCGAATAAAATAAATCTTTATACCTCAAGGTCACTCTTCTATCTGTACGAATTATAAACGTTCCTCTTTCTGAGAATTCTTTTAACAATTGCTTTTATATTAAAACGAACACAGGGGATCCCCGGGGGGCTCAGCGGTTTAGCGCCTGCCTTTGGCCCAGGGCGTGATCCTGGAGTCCCGGGGTCGAGTCCCACGTCGGGCTCCCTGCATGGAGCCTGCTTCTGCCTCTCTCTCTCTCTCTCTCTCTCTCTCTCTCTCTCTGTGTGTGTCTCTCATGAATAAATAAATAAAATCTTAAAAAAAAAAAGGAACACATATTATGGAGCGGAATGCAACTTTTGCATGTACTTCTAATACAAAACTCGCATCTTGGACCACATTTCACCCCTTCCAGGTGAGCCGGGGCCCGGAGCTCAGCCCCGCAGCTGGTGTGCAAAGCCCCCCGGGGAGCGTTGACAGGTGCTCGCGCCCGGGCCCCAACCCAGGCGGGTCCCTCGCGAAGCTCGGGAGCGGCCGCGAGTCCTGGGGTCTCAAACCGCGGCCCCGGCGACTGGGACGGGCGCCAAGGCGGGGACCTGGGGCCCCGGCCGGGATTTACTGACCCTGCAGCGCAGCAGGCGACCTATTAGGAACCTCCTCGGGCTATGTTTTAATCCGCTGCGGCCCAATCTAACAGGAATGCCCGGAATT